GCTACTTCAGTGCACAACAATATAATCAGTACAGTCCTGAAACCTGTTGTCATATAGACTGATACAACTGAGGACCCTCTGGAGTACAACGCCTATATCTGACCCTTTAAGAATATTTGGTTTTGAAAACAACGACACGTTTTGTGTAAGTGATAGATTGAACTCGTATAGAGCAATACCTTGATGCTTGTTCGTAGCTAAAGAACTTGACTGCTGAATTTGGCACAATTCTTGCACAGTTGGTACCATTGCCTTTGAATAGTCCTCGAAGACCCTCAGTTCTCCATATATATTTGAGGCCTTGAATAGTTCCATTGTACTGAACTTTATGAGGATTCTGGACCTGTATTGTGCATGTGCAATTTGAGGGTTCAAATTTATGAAGATTTTAAAGTTTTAAACAAGATATCCTTCATATCTACATTTCTTGCAGATTAGTAACAATATTCCTGAAACTCATGTCAAATATGTATTTATGAAGAATAATTCCATAAAAGGGAAAATGAGAAAAATCTGGTAATACCATTAAACAAGTGCTTGCATAAAAGGGCCTTTAACAGAAACTACAAGGCCTTGTCTACTCTCCAGATTCAAAAGAATATAAGCATTAAAGCCATAAAAGCAAGAAATACGATAAAAGCATGGAAGAAGCAAATCAGCATAAGCTAAGTGAGTTATAAATGTATTTGTATTCTTCATCTAGATGTGCACTTTATGGAGATACAGAAAATCCAAGGAATTAAGCTCCTCTATATATCAACTCAATGCATGAGTAAAATAAGAAATGAGCTAAACCCATCCAGAAAATACTAGCATGACATCTGAAAAGAAAAAAACTTACAGTTACCTCATAGTTTCTTTTAAAGCTTGTCACAACATTAATCAGTCTAATTTTTTACTCTTATCCACTAAAATTTTTACCATAAAACCAATCGGAGAGGTCCCTTCTACTTTTGCCATTTCAATAAAACTATTTACATATACACAGTTATGGAAAATGTATGGTAGTTTACTCAGGAAAGCACTGGGTACATATTTACTACATATTTAGAAACTTCTCCAAACTCTTTGGATAAGTAGCAGCACTCTGAATCAAGGGAAAGGCTGCATTTCTCTGTTCCAAGGAGATTTTTTTTTTCTTTTACCGTCACCAGACGTAAACATTAAATCATATGCATTGAAGGTAGCTATACAGGAAGGCATCATGCCTCAATCTAGCCAGAACAAAGAATAAAACCTTATATCTTTGAGTTGAAAATGTTCTCGCAACCAGGGCCAAAGTAAAAAGTAAAGAAAGGGAACAAAAGGTAAAGAAAGGAAAATACTGGCATCCAACAGATTCTCTTCACAGAACAATTACTTTTTCCTTTCTTTCTTTCCTCCTTCCTTCCTTTTTTTTCTTTTTATTCTTGTACTGAAAGGCATTGGTCTAAGTTTATTTCTTCCATTAGAAGATATAAGGAAAAACTGTACCGAAAGATATTAAATTTGTGAATTGAAAGCTGTAATTGTTAACAGTGACATCAACTATTTAATAATATCAATTTTGAGCCAAATGAAGCAACAGATAAGAGATAACAAAAGGGGAAAAAACAAGCTGAATAGAAATGAAAATAATCAGATAATACACTACCTGAAGCAAAATTTTTAACCTCTCAAGTGGCGCAACAGCAGTCCGTGATCTGTGTAACAAGCATAGTTTCAGCAGAAGACAACCAGTCCGCAAGTTTGACATCAAGTATATAACAATTTACACTAGTAGAAGTAGTTCTCGCATATGCTACTAATGACAAGAAGTAGTTCTAGCATAGTTTCAGCAGTGGTCACCAAAGTTTCTTTCATAAAAAATATTGCTACATCCAATCAGGGTGACAAAAGAATGAAAACCCAGGTCAACATACTGATATAAAATGCACCATAAACTTTAATGGTTACTATTTATGAACAACTACAACATAAGATATACTAAATAGATGAAAATCTTTATTTGACATCAACAAATTATGAAATGCATGTTTTTGGTTAACTAGGTTTTCCCTGTTATAATTCTTTCCCTTTGTCTCCTTATGACACAAGCAACACTCAATAGCTAAAGCCTGCAAAGTCAAAGCAAGAAACCATGCAGCAGAAATTTCCCTTTACTCCTTGCACCTTATATGTCATATTTACGAAATAGATAATTTTCTTTCTTTTCCCGTTTCTCCCTAAACCGTATTGAATTCTAGATCAAAGCATATAAAGAAAATTAGATGTGATTCGAAAGGACAAAATCTTCTATTGCCAAGTGATGATGTTCCTACTTCCTACAAAGTCCATTCCTTAAACCATCTCAGATTATTCTTGTTAAACCAATACTCTTCAAAACCCTAGCCCACTACGAGTTCATCCAATATGAATAAATTTGGTATAGAAAGAAATTGAATCTTCAGAGAATCAGAATTGTCACAAAAATTTATATGAGTTGTGTGTAACACGCATATATATATATATGCCTATGCATAATGCCTTATGTGATCTGAATGGACTCTATGATACAAGAGCCTAGCCACTGCATCAACACTTGGAAGTAATCTGACCCTTTGAGATCAATAGGAAAAAAAGATCGCATGACGGTTTAACCTAAGAAGATTGTCGGACGATGCGTATGCAGAATATACGAGCTTAAAGAGGAGTGAGATGCAGGATAGACATAGATGCAGAGACAATCTCACTTGGTGGATGCATGACCCCATGTGGTTATCCTCATTTCCTCTCTGTCTCCTCTTATTTTCCCGTTACATTTTCCTTCATCATCTTCCATGTCTCTTAATGACAAAGCACATACAGACATAGCATGCTAACTACTATAATAGAATTAAGTTGTAAATATAATGACCATTCATTCATCTCTTTTTAGTTCCTCCCAAGAGCATGGAAATCCGAAACCTGCACCTTTGACAACTCGATATCTTCTATTGATGGCTGTGAATCTTGTGGAACAAAGTTTTTTCTATCTTATCGCTAAAAATCAAAAGACCTTTTCCCACCCCACTATCCTAATTCCCTTTGTTTTCAGACAAATATAACCCTTGTGACTGGTTGGCAACACTACATCGCCTTACTTTGCCAATTTAAGAGATGAGAAGACACTTCTGTATGGAGCTTGTTCGGTTAGACTAACATAGTGCATAAATCTAAAGATCCAGATCATCCAGCCACAGAGTCGAGCCTAACGAAACCGTGTAAGCAGAAACGCTGCTTACCTAAGAAACTATTTGCAAGATAAACTGAGTCGCTAAATTTCCAGAAGTAGCTACTCTATATATAGCTCAAAGTTCGTATATTTTCTCCTCAGATAGAAAGAACAGGAAAATATATCATCGAATCTAGAAAATACCCCCAACTTTCCGTCTTAAAATTCATTGCATTGGACAAGCAAGTGAACGCATTACGCCCTAATGTCTCCTTCCTATTTTTTCTTATCCCAGCGATTAAAGCTCTAATCCAGAATAAAGCAGGAATTAGATTATTTCCAGGAAACACTATGCTGTGATGATATTTTAACTGAGCAACCGAAAACTAAAGAGAATATGCTACAATGTTGTTATATATAGACATTAAGGACCGTACTCGGAATTGTACCGATAATCAAAAATTTGACCACACATGTCAATCTATCATTGGTATCGTAGAGTTAAAGTCAACATAAAATTAAATAAAAACAAATTACAAAGACTAGATCTCGTAACGATGCTGGTATTGATGAGACTAAAACTCTAAAAAAAAATGAAACTTTGATGAGATTGAAAGAGAAAAGGGGGACATCGAACTCACACTCCACCTGCGACGCCGCCGGCGAAGAGAGACTTGCAAATGGAGAGGATTGCGTGGCCAGTTGGAGCCTTCGCCTCCTCCGCCAGATTCACGATCGTCGTCACCGCCGACTCCCCAGTGCTCTTAACGTCCTCCGACGCCATGACTGAGCCAACTTCAACAAAGAGAGATCTTGTTCAAATTCGGATGACGATCAAAGAAACCCTAGAATTTTTGCTCTTTATACGGTCGTCCTCCGATTTCTCTCCGCTGCTGCTGCTGTTGAGCTGACGGCGGAGAGAGAGAGTGTAGCAACGAGGGAGGGAGGGAGGGAGTATGTGAACGTGGAAGCGTCCGCTCGAGCTTTGGAGTTACTGAGGGGCGGCTGAGATTATTTATGCGGATTTGATGAGAGAATGGACGGTAGGATGATGAATTGGGCTTTTATTGGGCTTTCTTTTAACGGAAACTTGGGTTCGTGGTACCTTAGCTTCGTTCGGCCCGTTTAGGTATGAGGCGGTGGAGGGGTGCCACGGAGGAGATATTTTCGACGGAATATGTGGATTTCTTGATGTGGAAGGAGAGCTTGGTTTTTGAGAATGATGGGTGCTACGCGTAAATAAGTGAAGGGTTGTATGTTTGTTTTTGTGTACGTAAATATATGAATCATACTTAGCTAAACTCTATTCTCAAAAAAGAAAAAAAAGAATAGTTTCTTTTTCTTCTTCTCTCGAAGCATCTCTTTCAATATTTGGAATGGATAAACATAAAATCCTTCTATTGATTTCGTAATAGAATTAGTGCTCTGCAAACAATTCTTTCAAGAGCAAAAAGAACATCTGATGAATTATTATAGATTGCATAGGCAAAAGTTTTTGATTGAGCAGATGGATCTAATGAGTTAATGTATATTACAAATATCTATATGTACATTTTTGGTTGCTAATAATCCAATAATTCTTTTACACGCAATGAAATAAACTATTTTCGCAAAAAAAAAGTGAAAATGAAAATTGTTTAAATAATTGTTCTTCTAAAGAAAATGTGATCACAGAAAATAGAAGTTTATAAGGTAAATATTTTAGCATTTTTGATTTGTTTTTACTCAAGTTCGAAACACTGTTTTTCATGTATTTTTTTTAAATAATGTTTTCGATGTGAAATTTAAAACTAAAGAAATTGATTAACCTGATTCGCATTACAACGATGTAAATATGCACTATTATACCTCCCATCATATACAATGTAACAAAATTTTATATAACATGTTTCGGAATATGGATCGAAATCAGACAGGATATGCAAAAGTTACCCTAAAATATAAACTTGCGATTTTTATTTTTATTTTTCTAGAAGATTTTGAGCTTGGTTTATGAGTAAAATAACATGGCATGGATTATGGGTTAGATTACAACGGTTTCCTATACTAGTTGTCGCACTCCTAACTTGAATTTCTTTCCTTCATTCAATGAAATATTCCTGATAGGTGAAATCATGAAATTTGAACTCCGCCTAATTGTTTGCCACCGGGCCAAAACCGGGGAGAAGGGTATTTGAACTCCGCCTAATTGTTTGCCACCGGGCCAAAACCGGGGAGAAGGGTTAAAAATCATGGGTTGCAGCTCATGAAATCCGCGATTGTTTGCCACCGGGCCAAAACCGGGGAGAAGGGTTAAAAATCATGGGTTGCAGCTCATGAAATCCGCGGTTTTGAATTCCGCAAAGTTATTCGTGCACGGGTCGAAACGGACCAAAACGGTCGGAAAACCATGTGTTATAACCCATGAAATCACGAAATTTCAACTCTGCCTAATTATTTGATGCCGGGCCCAAACGCTCAAAAAGGGTCAACAATCACGTATTATAACTCATGAAATCGTCGGTTTTGAATTTGGCAAAGATATTTTGACACGGGTCGTCTAACACCCCAAATTGGTCAGAAACAGTGGGCTATAGCTCATGAAATCGTCGGTTTCGACATTTCCGACACCCGACCCAAAAAGAAGAAAATGGTCAAAATTCATGGGTTACAGCTCATGAAATCGTCGGTTTTGAATTCGACAAAGATTTTTGCCGCCGAGTCGAAACGGACCAAAACTGACAAAATATGTCAGAAATCATGGGTTATAGCTCACAAAATCGCGAAATATGCACTCCGCCTAATTGTCTGCACCCGGGCCGAAAATGGGCGTAAATGGACAAATTTCGTGGGTTATAGCTCACAAAATCTTGAAATTTGACTCCGTCGAGTCATTTGCCATCGGACGAAACCGTCGAAGTTGGGCAAAAATCGTTGCCTATTGCTCACGAACTCGTGAAATCCGAACAACGTTTAGTCGTCTGTCTTTGGGTCGAAACGGACAAAAACAAACAAAGTTCGCGGGTTGTGCTGTAATTATATATCGTTGGGTTGAGTCGGACATCGCGTTCGGCGATGTTAAGCCGGTCGACGCACCCCGGTCCGTTGGAGCTACGTCCCCTGTAATTGAGCTATGGTCGCCCACCTACTGTGGTCGAGGCCGTGGTCGGGACCCCTTGGCTCACGGCTTGGTCGGGACCCGTTCTACAGATGAAAGAAGCTGTAGAGCATGTAGCAGAAGCAATTAAAGACGAGAATGCCATGTTTGGTCAATCACATTCACTTGCCTTCACTAATGCAAATATTCATAATGAATTGGTATCGATGGGAGTTGAAAAAGAAATTCTACACAAAGCATATATTTATCTAGTCAAAAATCCTAATATGAAGGGTGCATTCTTTGGCGTTTGATGTGAAGAGTGCAAAGGGTGATAGAATATGTGTGCAAGCCTTTTGTTTTTGCCTCTTATTTGCTAATTTTTTATAGGGATTGCGATATTCCGTGATTAGTGGTTACCAATTTTTTGCTATATAACTTTTGCAGGAAAAGCTCTAGAATGCCACAAATCAAATTATGTGTGTTGATAGCAAGAGATGTCACCGTGTTTCAAGCAATGTAGGCTGTAAGCAACTTGGATGCTAATTTAATTTTTTTGCTAAGTTTATGCATGTTTACTCTTTTGCTAAGTTCATGTGTGTGTACTTTTTAGCTTTGATGTGAAGTTCCCGTTTATTAGATGTTGTTCATAATGTTCAGTATCAATAAAAATCATATATCCTCAATGTTCATATAGAAATTAGCTCGTTGTTCTACAAAAGAATTAATTAGCTCATTCTTCTACAATGGAATCAACTCGTTGGAGTTTCCAATTACTAGTTGTGTAATCTGCTGTTAACTAGTAGTGTCATAAAAAAAGCTTATGATAATTAATGGTGATCAGTACTATTTTGCTTATTATAATTGGTTGGTATTAACTAGTGTAGGCACTAAAAATGTCAAGAAACAAAGGACCATCAAAGCTCATTACAAGCATGACGAGGGTCATTACAATGACGAATCTCGTCTCAAACAACAGAGCTTGTCATTGGAGACAATGTCTGAAGCTCGTCAATGGAGACGAAACTCAAGGTCGTCAGTGAAGACAAAACTCATTATTGAAGACGAAGCTCGTCAGTGAAGACGAAGTTCGTCAGAAGAAGTCCACAAGGCTCGTCACGCAATTAGACTCAACCATCAAGGATGAAGCTCGTTAGTGAAGACGAAGCTTTTTCAAAAGACAAAGCTCACCACAATGTGAAGTTTGTTTTGACAGACGAACCTCGCTGCGCATTGAGGCTCGTCTCATCAGACGAACCTTGCCACGCAGCGAGACTCGTCCCACCACATGAAGTTCGACTGTAACGGTCTTGAAGACCCAGTACTAAATTCAAGGAGTCGGTTACGTCTCGATCCCACGATTTCAGCACGTAACTGACATGCTAAATGCCTATAAATAGCCTCCAGCAGCTACGAAGAGGGAGAACTTTGGATTATTTGGCAACTCTTGCATTCAAGCTTGAGATCCGAACCTCAGTTCTCGCGGTCTAAAGTCAACAGCAGCCATCAGCAGTCACTTAAGCATTGGTTAAGAGACTAATTCCTCTTTGAATCTAAGCAATCTTGTTCTGATCGTCAACGGCGAGCAAGCTCGACTCATGCATCGGGTGAGGCATCCTTTCGGCACCTAGAGCCCACGTTAAACAAAAGAGAAGTCGAACCAATCTTCTCCTATTATGTACTTAAAAGAGAGTGATTGTAACGAGACACTTACCAAGCGATAGAGTCTCTTCCCAAAGCTAATACAGTTAAAGGAATCAATCAATCATTTTTTTTAAGACCCTACAGAACTAGTAGTAGTGTCATAAAATGATATTATGGCGAGTAATGGTGACGAGGAGGTGAGGAGTTGGTTGGATCAAAGTAAAGAGAGCGGATTGTTAGCTTGACCTGGTCTAAGATGACCAAATCAACGTTCGTTTGAGAAGAAAGTGGAGAGAAATTGGGTTTGTTGAGAGAAATTCTCTCAGGAGCGGTTATGAGGGGGGTGGAGATAATGAGTTCTGGCTCCTATATAAAGAGGAGTAATCTCCTTGAGAAAAATGCAACACAGAAACAAAATCAAACCCTAACCTGTTACCGGAGCCCCCCTCAAAAATTTGTTCTTTCTTGTTCCTTGAGATCGATCACTGGTATCAGAGCCAGGTTGACGGCTGCTGGGAGTTGAAATCGCCTACGACGACGACGATTCTGCTACTTCGATCGACGACGGGAATGGTCGAGCCCCATCGGTTGACGTGCGAGAGCTCGCGGGCACGCGGTGCAGTCGCGTGGCTCAGTGCTAGGCCAAGCCAAAACCCACAAGAGGTTGTGTGTCTCTTAAGAATTTTTGTGTGCATTTAGAGATAGTTTGCACTACAGTGGGTCATCATGGGCCTAAAATTGCACAACTATATTAGGGGGTGGCAAGTGTTTGGTTGAGGATTGTGCACGTTGGGTGGGTTGCCTTCGTTTGTTGGCTATGGCGCAACCGCACATGTGGCTTGCTGACATAGCCGCCCGCACAAGGTGGCTCGGCGTGGTGGCGCCGCCGGTCCACGGCGGCCGTCGGCGTGGTCCGACCGCCGCGCGAAAATGGCAATTGTTAGCTTGAGGATTGTGCACGTTGGGTGGGTTGCTTCAGTCTGTTGGCTATGCCAACCGCACATGTTGGCTTGCTTATAGATATCCAAATACTGCTCAAGTTAAAAGAAGTGAAGGAACATGTGAAATAACACAGAAGAATAACATGAAAAGTTGATAAACAATGCATACTGATGCGCACAGGCGCGACAGTCATCACTGACGCGCATTGGCGCGGCAGTCAATACTGACGCGCATATGCGCGGTAGTGTATTGTGACGCACGTAGGCGCGACAACAGAGTATGGCATGCGCCTTTATAAGATGT